TCCAACCGAGCGATTCTGTGATTCTGTGCTTGGGATGAATGTGAGGAATCCTGCATTAGCAAGAGAAGAACTGAATCGTACTCGTTTCAGAGGAAGCTGTAAAAGAAGGGAGATGTTTTGAGGCATTCTTGGTTGATCTTAAATGGATGAATTACAGCAGAGCAGGTCTGTGGAAGGAAAGCAGCGAGGATAGAGGCTGAAATTCGTGTTGGCATCAGCCAATAACAGCGAGGTTGTCCTTAGAGAGTGGCTGAGCACAGCTGAAGTCGTTGATGCGTTGCTAGGTCAGAAGGTGGAAGGAGGGCAGGCGCAAGGGGAACGTGCTGTGCCTCTATCAGGTAATGGTTGAGTGTGGCCTGGGGCAGAGCTGCAGAGCATCTCCAGAGCTGTGGGGTTCAGCCTTTGCTGCAGCACCCGGAGTCGGTGGTTTCCCTGTAGAGGCTGAGATTCCACCATAGCAAGTGTCAGCCGTACAACGGCAGTTTGCCGTTTCTGCTGTGGGGCTCCGTGTGTTTACTGACAGACCCAGCAGTGTTTCAGACTGGCAGCGCACAGGGTGAAACCCTCGCTCTGGAGATGCGTGGGTGGGTGGCTGCCCAGGCTGTCAGTGCCTCAGCTCCGCGTGACCCGCGGAAAGAAGACTCCTCAACCCGTCAGGTTGTAAAGTGGGTGTGTTTGTCCAGCGCGCTGGCGCACGGGGGATCTTTCCTCCGAAATCCTGCGCGCCTCCTGCAGCAGCTCATCTCAGCTTTTATACAGCAAAGTGTGGCATATTCATTAATATGCAAAAAAGCCTATGCATATTCATAGCCTTTCCCTAAAAGGCGGTCTTTTTCCCAGAAGTGCCTGCTGGTGGTCGTGGGCCGGGGTCTCGGGGAGTCCTTTTCCCTGCTAAGCTCTTCACCTCTGTTCCTTGCGCATGCTCCCTGGACCCTGGTTGTTTCTCCAAACCATAAAGCTAGCTGCAATGTTCTTGTTGTTATCAGAAGCCGTAAGATGCTTCAGGCAGGACATCCTTGGCCTTATCAGGAGCTGTCTGTAGTCCACCTCCCTTTACACAGTGACCCAAGATCTATTGCTTCAGCTGAATAACTGCTATCCTGTTAACTCTTAAGCGTTATTTCCCCCACGCTGTGTTAGCCCCAAGCTATAACTTTCTTTATAAGCGTTACAACTCTCTCTATCACGTGTCCTCGGGTGGCTGAGGTCCCTCTGCCCCTGACATGTCACAGTCCTGCCTCGTCCTCTCATCCTGCTGTGTCTCCTGCTGCCCTCGGGCTCTCTTGCTGCCGTGACCCGTGCGTGCTCTGTGCGCTCATTCCCATGGGCATTTACTCTTGATGGCCCTGGTGGTGCTCCCCACCATCCGCTCTGTCCCCCTCCAAGCCCCTTGCTTTTTCTCTAGCGTCTTCCGTTGTCCCTGCTGCTCTGCCTCCTCCCTGGGGCTCCTCCCCACTGCTGCTCCCCTCTCTACCCTCCCCTCACCAGCCCTGTGCTCGGGCACCATTTCACTCCGTGCACCGCCTCAGATTACTCCAAAGGCTTCGGTGGCCGCTACGGCGTGGAGAGGGACAAGGTGGACAAAGCGGCGGTGGGGTTCGACTACAAGAGCCAGACGGAGAAGCACGACTCTCAGAAAGGTGAGCTGGGGGAGCCCAGTGCTGCAGGCAGGGTCAGGATGGAGCTTGGGGCTGTGCCCGCTGGGGCTGTGGGGCACAGAGGAAGGGTGCAGGGACAGCCCGGTGCTAACAGCAGGTCCCAGGGAGGAGGGAGAGCTGTAACTGCAGCCACTGGTGGGGAAACCTGGCCTTGCTCCGTGTCTTTAAGTCCTGGGTGGGGAAAAACCATTGCTGCTGTGAGAGCAGCCTGAGCTGACACTGCTTTTCCCTCCTTCGTTCTCTTCCGTGCCGTGATCTGGATCCCTGTGGCTGAAGATTATTCCGTGGGCTTTGGTGGGAAGTTTGGGGTCCAGAGGGACCGTCAGGACAAGGCTGCCTTTGGCTGGGACCATCAGGAGGAGGTGCAGCCCCATGCATCCCAAACAGGTAGGGGCAGCGCTGCCCGAGGTGGCAGCACAACCTCCTCGGAGCACACAGACCCACAGCAAGTGGTTCAGGCTCGACAGAGATCCAGCTGCTGAAAACTGGACGTGCACAGCACATTGTGGGGCAGCTGGGACACTGAACCCCAAAAACACAGGGGAAACTCTGCCAGGGCAGGTGTGGGGGGCACTGAATACAAGTCCCTGAATCAGGCTTCCCAGACCGTACCGTGCTTTCTCTGTGAAGTACCAGCCTGGCCATAAACCCATCCAAACGCTGAGCACAGGGGAAGGAGGCGAAGCAGACTCCAGCAAGGGCTTGGCTGCTGTGTGTGAACTTCGTTGCACTCAGATGGCGTCACCGGCTTCTCGCCCGGTGCCTCGGAAGCCGATTTGCCCGCGTACAGCACTGACCGCCTGTGAACTCTGCTGAAAGGAACGAAGGATTAGGCTTTAAAGCTGCTGTCCAGAGCATCTTGCCTGCATTACCTCTGTTTAGTGCCATGTGGGATAAGATGCAGACAAAGCTGACTTTCACTAATCGCAGCGTACTGAAGCCAGGGGTGCGCGCCCAATATAAACTCTTATAAAACAGCCTCTGTTTTTCCGTGCAGACTATGCCAAGGGGTTTGGAGGCCGTTACGGGGTCCAGCAGGACAGAGTCGACAAGGTAAGACTGCACGCTGCCACTGCTCCCTGCTCGTCAGCGCGCTTGGTGCTGCTGCGGGAGGGGAGACGTCCCTGATGGAAGCGAGATCCCTGTTCGTGGTTATTGTGAGGGTGAGGAAGCTGGCCCAGGGGCAGAACCAGAGAGTGCAGAGCAGTGAAGCCTAGGGGGGCAGTAATGCAGGGGATTGAAGGGGTTTTTCCCATTGAGTCAGCTCCTGCAGTGTTGAGTGGCTGCTGGCCATCGCTGCTGCAGGCTCTGCGTGTCCCTTTGAGGTCAGGATGAGCAGCGAGCGCTCCTTGGAGGTGACGTTCTGTGAGAGCGCAGCCTTGTGAGAAGCCCGAGAGGCTGCAGCACCGCGCAGGAGCTGTCCCTGTGTCAGGAACAGGGGGTGCTGGTGTCTGGGGTCACAACCCCCGCACCGACTGGTGATGGTTGTGCATGCAGAGGGGTTGTTACCTCGCACTGCCCCCGTGGGAAGGTGGTGTCGCTGTGTTCCTCCGGCTGTTCTTATTCAAGGTGTGAGGTTTGTCAGCAGCTCTCACACATAAACACGGCTTCCGAGGAGCTGGCTTGACTCTTCGATCCCTCCCACATCAACGTGCAGACCTCCCCAGTCCCTCCAGCATCTGACACTGATCTATGGCCTTGCTGGTTTCTGGCTCCTTATCCTCTGACACTGGTCACGGGTACGGCTGTGTGTGAGTGACTGCCCCATATCACTGCCCTTAGCTACTGCTGAATCACAGAATCCCAGAATGTGAGGACTTGGA